CAAAATGAATCCATTTGGGAAAACTTAGGTGTTACACCAATAGGCGATAAGATGAGCACCAATAGGCGATAAGATGTGAGAAAGTAGACTTTAGGTGGGCTGGCCATGTGTGGCACCGACCAAATACAACACCTGTTAGGAGCTGCAAGTTAGTTCAAGTGGAAGGACGGAAATGGGCAAGGGGTAGGCCCAAAAGGACGTGGTTAGAAGTAGTCCGAAAAGATATGGAGACTTATGGAATAGAGCAGAATGGCGGGTCAGAATTCATGTAGCCGACCCCAATTAATTGGAAAAAGGCTATGATGATGATGATGTTGATAATGATATATTGAAAAGTTCTAAAGGCCTTTACTTGGTGGATAACATTTTCTGAATTTGGATTTTCTTTTTTACGTTGTATATCTGAATCTCATGAGCTCTTTTAGAATATACACTCCAATACATAAGCCTTTGTCCCATTGTAATCCTAAACATTTCTTTTATGCCTGCATTCCCTAAAGCTGGTTACAGATATTTATTTATCTGATGCACACATTCAGGCTTAACAAGGTCATCCTATACAAAAGATCTAATCTGACTTCTCATTCTAGTAGATATGTTTTCTCTTGGCTATTTGACATACCATGGTCCTAATTTCCTTCGACCTAGATTATGTCAGTAATGTTCCCAATCTTGAAGATGTTACCAACTTCAGTCAAATACGTAATATTCAGAAACAGGAAACAAAGGAGAGCAATCAATTTTGTGTCTACCAAAGAACACTGTTGTTTGGTGTAATTGTTGGGTATAATAAGGTTAGACTCATCCACTTGGATATAATTGGGGATATGGGGTGGATTATGATGATTTTTTGGCTCTTGCAATTATTATAGAGTATGCCTTGATGGCAGACTATGGCTTGCTTAACATGAGCCATAGTGATACAGTGGAGGTTAGCTGATGTTCTAAAAGAGATTTAAGATGGGTTGGTCTTCATTACTCATGCTTTTAGAGATGGGGTATTGAAGGAGCGCTTTTCAGTGGGCATTCCCTCCCACTCTCGAGGATCAATAGCACTTAAATTGTTATAAACAAAAGGCAGCTATATCTTTGGTGTGAGGTGGTGCAGTTTGGAAACTTCAGGTGTTTGTGGAGATCATATTATTCATAAGAAGAACAATTACTACGAAAAGGCTCAATGGGTATTGTTACCTGTTAAAGTATTCCTAAAAATGATCCTTGGCTTAATTAGCTGATAGCCTGATAAACATTGTTTTATCTGTTCTATTTAATATTCCAGGTTTATTTGTTTCTTGCTCCTATTTTATAATATTTCTGAAACACAGACAGATGCTTACATATACACACAGTTACATATACACGTGTACCTATCTGTGTGTCTGCCTGCACGAGTGCATTCATGCCTTCTTCTGTCTCTGCATTTGCATTTATGACAGAAAAAACTGTCATATGGAACAATTTATTTTTATGGGTTGATAGAGATGATGTGTTGCATACTATTGGCATGCAATGTGTCAGCATACTTTTTTTGTGTGTATTTTGGAAGAATTCAGGTGTGCGATAAAATGAGAGAGAGTAGACTTAGGTGGGCTGGCCATGTGTGGTACCAACCAAGTACAACACCTGTTAGGAGGTGCGAATTAGTTCAAGTGGCAGGACTGAAAGGGCAAGGGGTAGGCCCAAAGGGATGTGGTTGGAAGTAGTCCGAAAAGATATAGGGACTTATGGCCTCATTGAGGATGACTTTTAATAGCGCAGAGTGGAGAACCGAGTTGGGACTTATGGAAAGCACTAGGATGATGATGATGATGATTTTGTCTAGATGGATAGGTGTGCAGATTGATATATGCTTGTAATTGCTTATTTGTATAAATGATGCTTAATGACTTGATCGGACCCCTATTTTTTCTTAATGACTCAGGGCGCTATGGCGCTTTTGAAGCTTTACTACGAGCTAAAAGATGTGTCGAAAGAACTATGAACAGAGTGCATTTCTTTCTTCAATCATTCATTCGATAGGCGTGATTCTCCAGAGGTAGGACACATGCTGTTCACTCGGCCTATTGGAATAGAAGGATTTTTGATGCCCTGCTCTCCAATTCATATACAAGACCCATGGGGAAGAGGACCGAACGGAACCTTAGTGGCTGGGAAACATAGATCCTGCAGAGATATCAAAATGGGCAGATTTACAGGTGTGGGCTTACTGGGCTAGGGTTCATCATGCCTTTCTTTCATTCAAAAATAGGGCAGGCGATCACTTTTCCAGCGAGAAGTGGAAGTTAGGTTTGGAGATCAGAGAGAGGAAGTAGGCTTTAGAGAAAAAGTCCCTCTTGTGCCGGTAGTAGGGAAAGCAGCCGAGATAGAGAGAGCAATTCTCTCAGTGAAGTGGCTTAGATCACAGAGTTTGTTTTTCTCTCGTTCATGTAAACAGTTCAAGCTGCTTTGCTTAGAGACAGGATCGTGACTTCTAATTAGTTTGGGAAAGCACAAGGATGCAAAGGAATATGCTAGGCATTCCCAGTTGTGATATTTTTGAATTAGATCGAGCTACTTTGAATTCTGATGGTTTTTTCCATTGCAATACGAGGGTCTGTTCACTTTTTGGCATGCTTCATTGGTTTTTCTGTAATTTTTAGGACACATTTCGCATTGTTCTAAAACCTGATTCTGAGAAAATGAAATCTTTTGGCATAGGCAACCTGTTTAGGTTTTGCCTTGTATCTGTTTACAATTTTCAAGGGCCGTGAGAGCTTGATTGTGTCAGGTCTATGATTTGAGATTATTATTAGTTCTGTTCTGGAAAACTGTTATCCTAGTGTACTATTTTCTAGTGTAGGACAAGTCATGGTCTTTACCATTCATTTGCCTTATGGTGGAAAACAAAAGAAGGGATGTAGTCAGATATACAACTTACTCTAAGTGTGTTTCATATTATTTGTCAGTGTCATAGTTGTAAATAATATTTAAGGAATGCATATTGATTTTTTTGTGTTTGGGAATTGCAGAATGTACCCTATGTCTTTGTTCCTTCAAAGCAAGCTCTTGGTCGAGCATGTGGAGTCACAAGGGCAGTGATTGCGTGTTCTGTAACCAGCAATGAGGGTAGTCAATTGAAACCCCAAATACAACAACTAAAGGTGGTCTTCTGGTCTTTAGTATCCTTGGTTTTTCAGTTTCTATTTTAGTCAGTTCCATTGTACTGATGAATGCTTTTGAATTCATAGGATGCAATTGAGAAGCTCTTGATCTGAGTTCTAATCTTTCTGGCGGAATGGATCTTGGGTCGTGAAAACCTTCAACTGATGCTTGATTTAATGACGTTGTTGTTTCTTTCACCCTGCACCCTCGGATCTTTGTCATCGTTTGTTCTAAAGACAATTTGTTACATTGGAGTTATTTTCCTGTATTTGGGTCTTCCAAACTTACAAGGAAGTGTATGAGAAGTACTTCGTAAGTATATAGAGTTATGGCAATTATGCTTGTTTTGATTTCAAAATATGAGTTATCAAATCAGTCCCATGCGAATTAGGTGGGGGCTCTAGCATCTTTTCTTTCCTGTACGCATATATGTGTCATCTATTCTCTGTTTAGAGTCTGTGCACTGCGCATGAGTTGTTTAGTGGGTGCCAGCCTGTGCACATGCGCATTGTGTGTATAGATTGTGCATGTGGGCTCATACAAGCGCACTATCTACGTATATATCTACCCATTTGTTTCAAACAGTGGCCAGGGGGGCGTGAACGCATTGCCTAAGCCTAGGCAGGCCTCTGGGCAGTGGGTTCCTGGTTGCCTTCCTAGGGACCAGCACCTAGCCCTGGGCAGGCGCTTAGGGTTGTGTCCAGGGTGAAAATGCCCCTCGTGAAAGGGAATTTTCCATCATTTTCCTAGTGATGAAACTTGAATATTTGACGTTTTAGAGCTAAAAAAACTCGAAAAAAACCATATTCCTCTTAGAAATCTTGAAGAACTTCAAGAAAACTTGGGCCACCTAGGCGCTGTGGCCAGGAATCCCCCCTCTCAAACCCCACCCTGAAGGTGTAGGCCCTGCCCGGTGTTGTATGGAACATTTTCCAATGTTACATCTTGGTTCATTAGATTCTTTTTGTTCTTTCAATATATTTGAAAGCTCTGGTTCTATTCTGATATTAGTTCTATCAGTTAGTGCCTTGACCATGGGTTTGAACCCCTGACCATGGGTTTGAACCCCCAATGTCAAGTTTTTTAAAAGGGATTGGTGTGCCAGACGCACATTTACAAAGTTTAGGGAGTTCTGTTTTTATGCCATAAATGTACTATTAGGAGACTTTGGAGCTTTTTTTGCTATCAAATGCTTACTCGGAGAATGAGTACTTATCGTTCGTTATCTTAGGTGTTGCTCATTGATGATAGTGAGAATTTCTTTCGTTGTACCGAGTGTTTTGAAAAGGATTCTGGGGGTGATTGCCGAGCCACTAATGTGGATCAGCGATCTCGATCGCCATACACTTTGTATTTTGTATTTCGAATAATGGAGTTGGCTAGAAGCTAGTTGGCTAAAGGCTGTTGATGTTGCACAAGTTTATAGTCTGAATCCCAAGGTCGCATTCTTTTTTGTTACATTAACAAAAAAAAATTGTGGAGGTTGATGTTGAGGGTGAGGTTGTATAAGGCGTAAAAGCAATGCACACTTCTAAATTAACAAATTTTTTTTTTTTGGAGGTTGATCTTAAGGGTGAGGTTGTATGAGGCGTAGAAGTAATGCACACTTCTAAGTTCTGTTTGCAGAAATAGTTTCAGTGTCAAACTTTATGACAGATTGGAAATCTACTTTTATTCCTAGTTATAGAATTTTAAATTTTAAAACTGGTACAGAGTAGTCTATTTGAGGATTTAATAAT